CCCGAAAATATACATGATGCTTTTATCAAATATTTCTCGAAGCTTTTTGGCAATCCATCTCAGGATCAGTATAGAGGGCTTGATAGAATCAATTCCCTTATTCGTTCTAAAGTCTCTAATGATCAAGCTTTTCAACTTGCCAGACCTGTATCTGATCAAGAGATCAATGATGTTTTTTGGTCTTTAAAAGCTAACAAGGCCCTTGGCCTTAACGGCTTTTCAGCTGGTTTTTTTAAGAGTGCTAGGAGTATTGTTGGTAAAGAGGTTACCCTGGCCATTAGATCATTTTTTGACTCTGGGAAGCTTCTTGCTGAAGTTAACAATACTACCACTGCTCTTATTCCCAAGGTTCCTAATCCAGTTAAAGTGGGGGATTATAGACCCATTTCTTGTTGTAATACTATCTATAAGTGCATTGCTAAGATTATTGCTAACAGAATTAAAATCATCCTCCCTGATATTATTGACCCTGTTCAATCTGCTTTTGTGCATGGGAGGAGAATCTCTGACAACATCTTTTTGTCTCAAGAGATTATGAGAGGTTATCATAAAAATTCAAATGTTCCAAAGTGTGCCATGAAAGTTGACATTATGAAAGCATATGATACTGTTAGATGGGAGTTCATTATTGATATCCTCACTGCTATGGGTTTTCCCCATAACTTGATCTCCTGGATTAAAACCTGCATGACTAGCCCTTCTTTCTCCATTTGTATCAATGGAAGTCTTCATGGTTATTACAAAGAGGCTAAAGGTCTTAGGCAGGGTGACCCTATGTCCCCTTACCTTTTTGTTCTAGCTATGGAAGTCCTTGCTAGGATTCTAGATGAAAAGTGTAAACATCCTCTTTTTAAATTCCATTGGAGATGCGAGAAAACCAAGATTGTTAATCTTTGTTTCGCTGATGATCTGACGATTTTTAGTAAACGGGATGTTAACACTGTGCAAATGATTACAGATGGTTTGGAGGAGTTTAGATCACTATCTAGCCTCACCACTAATCCTAGTACAAGCAATGTGCTTTTCTGTGGTTGTAATAAGAAATTAAGGGATAACATTCTTCAAATTGCATCTTTCTCTGAGGGGAATTTGCCGGTCAAATACCTTGGTGTCCCTTTTATCACAACTAAGTTGAAAGCTACTGATTGCAAGCAACTTGTTGATAGGATCACTAAAAGGATTAGTACTTGGACCAATAAACTTCTTTCTTATGCTGGTAGGACCCAACTGATCCAAACCATTTTATTTTCTATGCAAGTTTATTGGTCGCCATTGTTTATTTTGCCTAAGAAGGTTATTAAGGAGATTGAGAATCTTCTTAGAGCCTTTCTTTGGTCTGGTACTGACCTTAGGAAGCACTGTGCTAAAATTGCTTGGGACAAAGTTTGCACTCCTAAGGAGGGTGGTCTTGGTTTCAAATCTCTTAAGGTTTGGAATAAGGCTGCCATAGCCAAACATGTATGGTTCCTTTTCTCTGGAGGGGCCAATTCTATGTGGTGTCAATGGGTTAAATCATATCTGCTTAAGGGGAAGTGTTTTTGGAAAGTCAAAACCCCTAGTCACCCTTCCTGGGTTTGGAGGAAAATCCTCTCTCTTAGGCATGTTATTTACCCTCTTATTTGTCATAGAATTGGTAATTTCCTTTGGCATGATGATTGGCACCTTTTGGGTTCATTGTGGGTTAGATATAGTGATAGAATTTTGTATGATTCTGGTTTAAATAGTGAAACTAAAGTCAGTCAGATTATTGAAGGGAGTTCATGGAATTCGACTTTTCCTAATTCTCGGGAGCTTAGGGATCTTGTATCTCATCCTAACAGTTGTCAACCTAATCCATTGACAATGGATAAAGTGGTTTGGACTCTTAATTTTGATGGGGATTTCTCTGTCAAATCTGTGTGGGATTTGTGGAGGTATAAGCAAAACGTTGTCCCTTGGTACAAACTGGTCTGGGGGCCTTACACTATTCCCAAAGTTAGTTTCATTGTTTGGTTGCCTATCTTTCGTAGGTTGAATACTAGTGACAGACTCCATCTGTTTGGTATCTCTTCTTGTACAACCTTCCCTTTCTGTTTAGATCCGAATGAAAGTCACTCTCACCTCTTCTTTGGCTGCACCTTCACCTATAGAATTTGGCATGCTATGCAATGTAAATGTAATATTCAATGGAATGATATGCCTTGGCCTGAGATTGTTGCACATGTCAACCAAGAGAGTAAAGGTAAATCTCTTAAATCAATCATTACTAGACTTTCTTTTCTCTGTACTGTGTACCATATGTGGATTGAGAGAAGCAATAGAATTTTTAGCAAGGAATGTAAACCTGTAGAGGTGATTATCAAATCTATTGTGCTCATGGTGAGGGGTAGATTGCTGTCTGTTAGCAACATCCCGAATGCTATAGGTGATAACTGGTTCCTTTCTCAGTGGAACCTTCCTAACTCCATAATGAAGCCCCATTTTCACAGAAATGAGAGGGCTGCTGAGTGATGTAAGTTTCTATATGAATGAGTTGAGTGATAGTGAGCAGAAATTGTGTGTTTACCTAATTAGCTGTTACTTGTGTAGGTGTGCACCCATGAAGCTTTATTCTATTTGTGGGTTAAGTGTGGTGAGCTACAAAATTACCAACATATCTTTTATGTGTTGGTCCTGTGGGTTGAGTGAAACTAATACCTATATGCTTTTTGTGCTAATCAGTATATATATAGTAAATTTCTATGTGCAGTTAAGGAAGCAATTCCCGAGTATGGGGAGGTCATATATTGTGGGTTGAGTGATGTGAGCTCAAATAATGTGTGCATCACCCTTTCTCTTCGGTTTTATGTCTTAACACTGAAATTGGGTATTGTTATCTCTGTGTTCTCTTGGCAGGACTTTTTACATTGTCTAGGAGCAGCATGCCAACAGTGTTCTACTAGGGATTGCTTCTCCAAATTGTTGGTGTCGTTGGTGAAATTTTTGCTGACATATGTGGTTATCTCGTCTAGAAGAATGGCTACTACATGTGCCTTCTGGGTTTATCAGACAGTTCAAAAGCTGTCTTTCATTACGTTTCCTATATGTAATTACTATATATACATAGTTGTTTTGCCTACCCTAGTGGGATGTACTAGAGATTATGGTTGTTACTTTTTAGCTAGAATCTTTGTGCTGGTTCAGACTAATTTCGTGAGGAAGCATATGGAGCTTGGGTATGTGACTTTTTGGGTTTTATTTCAAGACTTTGCTGGTTCAGAATATGTTGATTTTGACTGAGGGTTTCCAGATTGCAGGTTTCTGGCTAGTATTGGTTTATTTTTTGATGGTCGGTCTGTCTTGCTTTTGTTCATTTCCTATTTCATTAAAATAGGTTATGAACATTGTGCATTTGTTTTGGTTTGTTCTTTTCTTTTATCTTTTTTGTTTGTCCGTGTTTAGCTATGGTTGGGCCTAGGGCTTGTCCCTTGTTTGTTTTCTTTGCTTTGGTTTTTGGTTTCCTTATATAGTTTCTTGGTAGGGCGTGGGGTTTGCCCCTTGTAATCTTGTATATTTTCCTGTTTTACTTATGTCTTATTCACCCAAAAACATAAAAAGAAGCAAATTAGTTCCTAGAAAAAAAAAGAGTGAAGGTTCTAGAAGAACGAAGATGGTTAGAGAGAATCTTTCTCCCTGTGTGGTAAAAGAGAAAGTTAGAGAAAAGAAAGGTAAATCGGATGAAAATTAATGTGAATTCAAATTTACCTTTTTTTACTTGAGAATTGAGCACTTTGGTGATTTAGAAAACATTAAATGAGTAGCTTAAGTGAAAGTAATATCGTTATGCTACAATTACTCAATAAATTCTCTTCCTTAGAGGCTAGGATAGATTGTTTTGAGTTAAACTTACTTAAGGTAATGAAACTGATAGTTGCCTAAGGTAATTAGTTCCTAGAACAAAAGAGAGAAGGTTGGAGAAGGATGGAGAAAGTTAGAGAAATACTTTCTTCTTGACTGCTAGAAGAGAATGTTACAGAAAAGATAGGAAATAGGATAAAAAATTAAAGGGAATTCAAATTCAACCTTTTGGACTTGAGAATTGAACACATAGGTGATTTGGAAAACCTTAAATTTGATGCTTAAGTTAAACTAATATCGTGAAGGAACAATTACTAAGTAAAATCTCTTTCTTGGAGGCCAAAGAAGATTAGTTTGATTTCAAATTAGCCACTTAAGCTAATGAAACTGTTAGTTGCCTAGGCTAATTAGTTCTTAGAAGAAAAGAGAGAATGATGGAGAAGGACTGAGATAGTTAGAGAGAAACTTTCTTCTTCATAACTAAAAGAGAAAGTCAGAGAAAATAAAGGGAAATAGGATGAAAACTAATGCGAATTCAAATTCATCATTTTGAACTTGAGAATTGACAACTTAGGTGATTTAGAAAAACATTAAATAAGTTGTTTAAGTAAAAACAATATCGTTAAGTTACAACTACTCCGTAAAAGTAATATCTAGTGAGGATGTTGGCCATGTGCCTAACCAGCAACGATTGTGGGCCAATATAACTGCTGCATCTACTCGGTCCAACATCAAACTCAAGAATTGTCCCTCCAACGACTGTTGATGATAGTATTGTGGTAGAAATGCCGACTAGATCTGATCCCTTGCAGAAATGGGATTCAGGTCTTGTTGGCTATTTTGTTGATAAGGAAGTAGGTTATAATTATCTACGGAATAGTACTTTTGGGTTGTGGAAAGCTAAAGGTCTTAAGGAAGTGCTTACAAATGGAGATGGCTTCATGTTTTTCATATTTGATACCCCTGACAGTTGCAGAGAAGTCCTCGAAGGAGGCCCGTGGTACATAGGTGGTTATCTTCTCATTCTGAAACAATGGAAGAGAATGATGAAGCTAGCCAAGGAAAAATCTACTACGATTCCAGTCTAGGTGAAATTCTTCAACATTCCTTTGGAGTATTGAGACGCTAATGGTCTAAGTAGAATTGCTAGTGCAATAGGGAACCCACTTTTCATGGATTAGCTCATGGCTAGGGATAGTAGGGTGGCATTTGCTAGAGTTTGTGTAGAGATTAAGGCCACTTCAAAGTTGCCTTCGTATTTCCAAATAAGATGTGAGGAGGACGCTGTGTTAGTCAGAGTTGAATATCAGGGTCTCCCCTCAATTTGCAAACATTGTCAAATTTTTGGGCATAACACTGATAAGTGTGTGTCCAAACAAGTGGCCCAACTGATTTCCCTTCAAAAGACATCTGAGGACAATACTTTCGAACATGATGAAGAATGGACAACCATTAAAGCCAAAGGGAAGAGGAAGGTGGGTGAACCTGATCTAGAGGCTATTCCAGAATCTATGGAAGTACCTGAACCAAACCCAGTGCCAAATTCAACCATAGTTCAATCTCTGGAGACTCAGGAGACATCGGCTGGAAAAAGCTCATCTATGGAAGAACAGATCTCCGAAAGTAGAGTGGATAGATTCCAAGAAAGTGTCTTGGAGATTACAGAATTGGTAATTCCTAATGCTGCTGAACTGCTGGAGGCAGTGGTTAATGATACCACTTCTACAAAAGAGGCATCCAAACCTGATGCACCCTCACATCAGGCGAGCCCGCCAACAAAGTACAAATCCTCTGGCGAGGGAAGCAACAACCAGAGGAAAAAGAAGAGGTAACTGTTAGTTTTAGTTAGTTGTGGGTTTTGTCTCATTATTCTTTTTGTTTCCCAATGACTGTTAAAATTGCTTCATGGAATGTTAGAGGATTGAATGATCCATCTAAACATAAGGAAATTAAAAATTTGGTGCTTAAAGAAAATATTCATGTCATTGGGGTTTTGGAGACTAAAATAAAACAGATCAATGAGAGTAAAATTTGTGCTCAATGTTTTGGTAATTGGCCTATTCTCTCTAATTCACAACCAACTGTAACTGGGAGAGTCTGGGTGTGCTGGAATAATGATTTTTGTGATGTCCAAATGATTTCTATGTCCAGTCAGCATATTTTTTGTAAGATCAATGATTTGGCCACTAATGAGGATTTTTTTGCAACTTTTGTTTATGCTGAAAATAAGCACACTTTGAGGAAAATTCTTTTTGAAACTATGTATCACATCTCCCGAACCAAATCCAAATTTCTATGTGTTTTCTTAGGTGACTTTAATGCTATCAGATATCAGCAAGAAAAAGTTGGGGGATCTTCTAACTGGACTAATGATCATGAGGAATTTAACACCTATGTTAATAAATCTGAATTGGCTGATTTATCCTATGGGGGCTGCCAATTCACTTGGGCTAACAAATGGGGTGATGGGGCTTATATTGCCACTAAAATTGATAGACTGCTTGTTAATGAGTCTTGGCTTGATCAATTTCCTGAGTCTACTGCCTCATTTCTTCCTCCTGGTATTTCTGACCATTCTCCTACTGTGATCAATATCAGTGTCACTAGGTGTTCCTTTAAAAAACCCTTCAAATGCTTTGATTTTTGGTCCCAACATCCTGAGTTCCTCAATACTGTGTCTAATACCTGGGATCAGTACATCAGAGGTGTCCCTATGTTTAGGGTTTGTCAAAAGCTGAGACAGCTTAAGGTTAGGCTCAAACTCTTGAATAAGAAGGATTTTAGTGATTTCTCCACTCGTGTCCAAGCTTCCAAGGCTAGTTTGAATTTTGTCCAACTAAAGTTGGATAAGGATCGTGTGAATCTAGTGCTTCAAGTTCAAGACAGAGAGGAATTTTAAAAATACCTCGAGCTTAGCAAAGTGAAAGAGTGCCTTGGTCTTCAAAAATCCAGAGTTCAATGGCTAGGTCTTGGGGATAGAAATAGTAGTTTCTTCTTTAGGTATGTGAAAAGTAATATCTATAGAGGAAAGATTCTGAGTGTTGATTTGAAGGATGGTACTAGATCTACTGACAGTACTGATATTCATAACACCTTTGTTCAATTTTATACCAATTTGTTTGGTTCCCCCTTCATGGATCAGTATAATGGCTTTGAGAGATACAATATTTGGTGAAAACTAAAGTTTCTACATCTCCATTGGTCATGCTTGCTAGACCTATTTCTGATGCTGAAATCAAGGAGGTTTTTTGGTCTCTCAAGGCCAATAAAGCTCCTGGTCCTGATGGTTACTTTGATGGGTTTTTCAAAAGGACTTAGGATATTGTTGGGAAGGAGGTCGCTTTAGCTATTAATTCATTCTTTGATTCTAGTAAGCTTCTTACTAAGATCAATAGCACCATCATAGCCCTTATTCCTAAAATTCCTAATCCTATGTGTAGACACCCCATTTTTCACTGACCTAAAGACTCAGACTTCATCGATTGAGCGCTCGGTGATTGCGCTTGTTGTGCTTGTTCTGAAGTTTCAGAGTTTGGCTGAGTGCCTTGCCTCCGAACCTCGAAACTTTTTGTGCTTTGACTCGGTCTGCGGACCAAGTCTTGTAGGTCTTGTAGACCATCTCTCAGTGGTTATAGGATACTTTTCGTTGTCATAGGCCACTATTCCCCTTTGGAGACTTGTTTCTAATTTTCAGAGCCGTCAGTCGTGCGCCTCGGCTTGGGACCGCTTAACATTCTCCGTTTGCCCCAGTTTTTGGAGCACACCTTGTTTCGTATGTATAGAGGGACACTGTGGTCTGGGAGACCACTTTTTTGGTCGTACGCCACTTTTAGGGCACAACAGCCAGTTTTCGGGGCACCCGGCCTCGCGCTTTGCCCTCCGAACTCTCATTTTGCATTCGTGTTGGTTCATTTTTGGCATGAACCTTGTTTTTCTTGTTTAGGAGGTGGTACAAGGGTGGGAGACCACCTTTTCTCCTTGGAGACCACTTTCTTCCCACCAGCTGATTTTCTTGTCGGGAAACTGGTCTCCTTGATATTTGGGCCACATTTTCTGGTCTCCCACCACACCACTAGCTTGCTTTCAAAGTGGAGACCACCAATTGGGGCCACCGACCACCCTTTGTTTTGGGATACCACTTACCCTGGTAGGCCGACCAAGGGAAGTGGTCGGACGACCACCCTGTCTGGTCGGCCAGCTCCCTCCTGTTTTGTCTGTTTGAGTGTGTGCCAGCTGTGCCAGTTGGAAGGCACAGACTGTATCCTCCATACACGTGTATGGAGGATCATGAGCCTTGGTTTTTAGCTTGTTGAAGAAGATTTGGCCTTGTATCTCTATAAGAGAGGCCCTCCTCTTCCTTGGCACAGGTTGAGACTTCTCTCTAAGGCAAAAAATATATCTCACTCTATATCTCTACATTTTAGCTCCAAAAGTGTATTGCTCTTGGCCCTTTTACATTACACATCATAGCCATACACTTCCACCATTGATTTGAGGTCCTTGGAGGTTGTCTTCAGAGGTTAAGGAGCCGGTTTTTGGTTCCAAAGTGAGTTGGTTTTGCTGAGCTTTGAGGGTAATCACTTTTTCCTCTTTTAAGCATTATTTTGATCCTCCTCTTAGCCTCATTTGCATGCTTATTTGAGCCTTGTTGTCAACTGAAAAAAGGTTCATATTTAAGTGATTTTCATGTTTGTCTAGGGCTCTTTTGGTGTTGGGGGTCATCTACCCTCTTGCATGCTCTATTTAGCTTTGTTTTGTGCCATACCGTGAGGCCTTTCTATTGATCTTTGCTTGGTCTTTTAGCCACTAAAATCCAATGGATTTTCAGTGGTTGGCATGTAGTTTTGAGGGCCAAAATTAGAGAGGGGTGACCCTCTCTCTTTTGGCCTTGTTTGTTTTCATTTTTGGCCTTTCAAAGGAGCCCATATTTCCACACTTCCTAGCCTTGGTTCAGGCCCTTTTTAGTGACTTTTAGGACCTGTCTAAACTCTATCTATGGCTGGGTTGGTCACCTTTTGTTTGCCTCTTGCGTGTGTAGAACAATCCTTTGCATAGCCTATCAAAGTAGCACCTCATTCTTGCATGTATTGGTCATGTTTCAGTGAGTTTTTGGCCATCATTTGGCATGCCATGATTCTATTTTTAGCTGGTTTGGTAGCCTCTCATATGCTTCATATGCTTGTAGTGTAAATCATGGTTTACTAGTTTGAAATGCATGGTGTTTTGGCCCTCCATTCTAGCATATTTTGGCCATGGTCCAAACTAGTTTTGTTCATATTTTGGTCTTCCTTAGCTCTGTTTGAGGTTTTCTGGGTCATGCATGCATTGTTGTGTATGGTCATGGTTCAATCTAGCTTACTAGCTTTGTACATCGGGTCCACTAGCATGCGTTACTTGGGCTTTTGGCATGATTTAGCATCATTTCTACCATGATTTCAGTGCATATTCCATGGCCATGCACTCACATTTGTCACTCCTTCCATGTATTGGAAGGCTTACGCTTTGAGCCTTAAGAGTGAGCCATCATGTATGCATGTTTGCCTAAGCTCATGAGCTCCATTTCAGCATGTTCTTGACTCTTAGTTTGGCATGATTAAGCTTTGTCCAGATCTGGTTTAGTGGTCTAAGCTTGGTATTGTATGCTCCTTATGTATCGCTCTTGACTAGCCCTACGCTCTAGGCTTTTGAGCATGCATCATTTGTGTTGTTTGATTGATTTGGGCATCATTTAATACTCCATTTCAGAGCATGTAGTTTTTTCATACTCTCGTGCATGTCACTCTCTAATCGCGCTTAAGAGTTGTGCCTTTATGCTATACTTTCGAGCCATGAGTTGAATGTGCATTTCATGCTCTTTGTGCCTAGGTTTTATTGAGTTTTGGCCACTGATTTAAGTGTGGCCGAGTCCCACTCATTTTGGTTTGAGTCCATTTTGCATCGAGTATGCCATTGTAGTTCATAGCATTGCACATGCCACGTAGTTCGTCGCATTGAGTATGCTATTTGATATTCGCATCGTGTATGCTAGTCACATGTTGCCATATTGTTGTGTATGTTGTCTTGCATTGAGTATCTGAGCATTAGCATTGTGTATTGTGCATGCCATTAGCCTTGTTAGGTTGTCCATATTGCATTTCATATTGGCATTGTGCATGCTATCATGTCATCCTTTGCATGTTTGCATCACTTAGTTGCATAGCAATTAGGTTGCATGCTTAGAGTCGCATTGTGCATGCCATTGTTCGTTGTATTGTGCTCGGAATAGGAGTTAGTCTGAACACGGGAAATGAGGGACGTTTCGTACTCAAAGTGATGAAACGTGCCTCGATTCCCGGTCGCCAACACTCTTGATTACCCGTGACGGAGTTGTTGGCTTTAGGTGCTTGTATGTGCATTCATTTCACATTAAGTCGTGCAATTCGACTCCTCGGCCATCATGCATCGGGATGCATGATTGGTGGCCTGAGGATCGAGAACTACACTCCCTAGAGCTTATGCAATGATGGGGAGAGTGGTCGTGCACACATATGTTGAAAATACTTGGCCATGCCCTTCCCTTTTCCCTTTGATGCAGAAAAATAGAATCTAGGAGAAGAAACTGGTCGACCGACTAGGTTTTCTGGTAGGCCGACCAACTTCTTTGGTTTCCACCATAAAAGGTGGTCGGTAGTTGGTCTCCCATGCCTATAAGCTATTTGGCAGCCTTCCCACAGTTTCCTAGGCTGGAGTTTCATCTTTCTAGAGCTTTGTGCAAATTTCTGAAATCAATTGCAAACAAAGGCAAGCCGGGGCATCGCAATGGATTTCCCGACAAGGCGACTCGAGCATGCATGCATCCTTTATCATTAAAGGCAGATCTAAGGCAGTCCACATTCATATAGTTTGCATGCTAGTTTAATTACTTACTTAGTTAGTTTGTTAATTAATTAGAGTTGTGTAATAATTAGTTGTAGTTTATTATTCATTTTGGTTGTGTAATAACTAGCTTAATTAGATTAGCTTAGATTAGCTAGGTGGTGTTGTATAATTTATTCAGACCCTCCGTCAAGAGGGCCAACTGTTGTAATAAGTGTGCGTGTGTGTGATGTATGTCTTCCAACCCTACGTCTTTCTCCCTTTTATTTACCAGCTTATGATGGTTAATTTTAGGGCATGTTTCAATTACCATCCTTATGCTCGCATGATTGCATCCATTCATCTGTCTTGCATGTACTGGGCTCGGCGGATTATGCTAACTGCATTGTATTTCAATTCCGAGTTGAATACATGTTATCAGTAACATCTCATATGCCATTTTAGAATAGCCGAGCCTATGTTAGTTGCATTTTGCATGTGTCGCATTAGCCATCTTAACATGAACTAAGATCACGCATTGATTACCAACTAGTTTCGGTTTTGGCTTGGAGTACTCGGTGAGTGTTTATGCTTTAGCATCCTTGCATGTGTGTGAGTGATTGCCATGATAGCATGCTTGCCATGAGGCTAACTGCTTATGTGATATACCTGCCTGAATGCCTGTGGGTGAAGGTTGGATTACTTGAATTGGAACAATTCATTGATTACGAGTTTTAAGCCCACTTGAGCGTGGCAAAACACCATGTTTTCTAAGCCCACTTAAGGGTGGCAAAATCCGCATTTTAGCCTACTTGCAAGTAGCAAACCGCTTTCAAAAACAAACATGAGATGTTTCGTTCCAACTTAGACGATCCATTCTATACTTGTATGTTGTGCGCATCACGTAGCAATTCTAGGCTAATAAACCGGAATAAGAACGCATTTGTTTTCAAAAACTCGATATCATGTTTAGTAGTGGCCGATCTTTGATTGGGCGAGCGGGGGTGCTCATTGCATGACCTTCCCCAATCGTACCCAAGTTCCCGAGCCGAGGCAACTTTGGTG